AACCATGACATATTTACACTTTCTTTCATCATTTCAATAACATATCTCAATATTATTACAACAAATCTCATTATGTTCTCATTAACCATAGCAAATCACATGTATATCTTGTTCTCATCTTTTATTTTCATTAAACTCATCACAATAATCGCAACAAGATCAAATAACACATATTCCACCGATTAAAAGTATTTTTCATTATTTATTTTCATGGAAACAACACAACATCATCAACTATATCAAATATAAGCATATTTAACTGATTAAAATGTTTTATCGATTAAAATCTCATCAAATCAACAAGTATTTCAACCTCAAATATACCCAGATCTATAAGAATACACCCAGATCTACTAGAATATAATCAGATCTACCACAAAACAAGTAGTTCACATAGGAAAATGATAAATTAAAGCCCCCTTACCTCAAAACAGAGCTTTTACAAAGATTTAACCAAAGATTTAACTCTAGAATGGAGTTTTTCCTAAGAACACCATGAACATCTATAAGAAAAAGAAGAAGAGGAGAATAAACAGTAAATCTAACTTCAAACTTAGAGAAACTTACTTGAAATCCTTTAGAACGGATCTAGAATCACAAATCTGAAGGGAAATCTAAGTTTATGAGGGTTTAATATGAAAGAAAATGGTGAGATATAACCTTGGAACCTTTGAGAACCTTGGATAGAAGTGAAGAAATGAAAATTTCGTATGAAGCTCCCCTTTTTATAGAAAATTCTTGAAATTTATTGTTCACCACCAAAATACTGTTCACCACCTTACTGTTTATGCCGAAAACACTATACGCATATGTGACGTCGCATGACGTCGGGTGACATTACTAATGACATCATTTTTTTTATTGTAAATTCCATCCAAATCTATTTCAATTATACTTTAATAAATCTTATTTTATTTAAATCAAAATGCAGGATGTTACAGCCTCACTAATGCCCCAACAACCTTTCAAGGGTTAATAAATATTGTATTTCAAAAGTTCTTAAGGCAATTCTTATTGTTCTTCTTTGATGATATTTTGGTGTATAGCAAGAGCTTGGAAGAGCATTTGGATCATCTTAAGCAAGTGTTAATTACTCTTAGAAGCAATTACTTGTTTGCTAGGAGGAGTAAATGTTACTTTGCTGTCCATAAAGTGGAATACCTTGGTCATTTCATCTCTGATTTAGGTGTATTTACAAATCCAAATAAAATAAAAGCTATGCTCAATTGGCCTCTTCCACAAACTATTAAGCAACTGAGATGGTTTCTTGGTCTTGCTAGCTATTATTGGAGGTTTGTGAAAGGGTATGGAGTAGTTGCAAAACCCTTGACTGACATGTTAAAAGAAGATGGATTTAGTTGGACTCAAGATGCTAAACTGGCATTTCAAAAATTGAAAGAATTGTTCAGTTGTACTCTAATCTTAGCTCTTCCTAATATTTCTAAAGTATTTATGGTGGAAGTTGATGCCTCAGGTTGTGGGATAAGAGCAGTTCTTGTGCAAAAGCAGCACCCTATAGCTTATATTAGTAGAGCCCTTAATCTGCAGTAGCGATCACTGTCTACATATGAGAAGGAATTGTTAGTTGTTGTCTTTGCTGTTCAGAGATGGAGACATTATCTTTTGAATAGGCATTTTATAATCAGAATTGATCATTATAGCCTTAAGTAGTTCCAGCAGAAGTGGCTAGTTAAACTCAGGGAGTTTGATTTCTCAATTGAATATAGAAAGGGACAAGAAAATGTAGTTGTTTATGCTCTTTTAAGAAGAGATGTTGTTGAGTACAATAGTCTATTTACTCATCAGTTACAATTTGATTTGGTAGATAAAATTCATCTATCATGGGTGAATGATACTAACTTATAGAAGTTGATCAAGGAAGTACAAAAGGAATCAGCTTCTCACAAACATTATAAATGGCAGCAGGGCAAATTGAAGAGAAAAGGCAAGTTAATAATTGGTAATGATTCAGCATTAAGGGGTGATATATTACAGTGGCTGCATGCTTCTGCTGGAGGAGGACATTCAGGAATCAATGCTACCACGACGAGGGTTAAAGCTGTTGTGTATTGGAAAAGGTTGATCAATGATGTTAGGAAGTTCATCCAGCAATGTTCAATTTGGCAGCAATGTAAATATGACACTGCAGCATCTACTAGATTACTTCAACCTCTTCCTATTCCTGAACAAATTTGGCAGCATGTCACTATGGATTTCATTGAGGGTTTTCCTAGTTCATTTGGCAAGCAAGTGATTTTTGTGGTAGTAGATAGGTTGAGCCAAGCTGCACATTTTATGGCTTTGTCTCATCCTTATACAGCTAGTGATGTGCCTCAGTCTTATATAGATAATTTGTTTAAATTACATGGTTTTTCTAGTACCATCACTAGTGACAGAGATTCCATTTTTATTAGGTAGTTTTGGCGAGATTTCATGTCCTTACAAAGGGTACAAGTTCAGCTTTCATCTAGTTACCATCCTTAGACTAATGGTCCAATTAAGGTGGTAAATAGATGCTTGGAAACTTATCTGAGGTGTATGTATGCTGATGTCCCTCACAATTGGTCAAAGTGGCTACCCTTAGCTGAATGGTGGTACAATACCTCCTACCACACTGCTACTAAAGCTACTCCTTATGAAATAATGTATGGACAGCCAGCTCCAATCAATCTTCCTTACCTTCCAGGAGAATCAAAAGTGGAATTGGTGGACAAGAGCTTGATCAAAAGAGAAGAGATGATGAAGTTAATCAAGTTCCACTTAAAAAGATCCAAAGAAATGAAACAGGTTGCTGATAAGCATAAGAGTGACAAACAATTCAAGACAGGAGATTTTGTCTATGTGAAGTTGCACCCATATAGACAAGTGTATGTGGCATTTAGGGGCAATTCTAAGCTAAGTCCTAAGTATTTTGGTCCCTTTAGAATCGTGGACTGCATCGGCACTATAGCTTACAGACTTGACCTTCTAGCTCACAGTAGGGTTCACAATGTGTTCCATGAGTCTCAACTTAAGAAATATGTGGGTTACTTGGTCACTACTACTAATCTTCCCTACTAGCAGGAAGATGCTTTTGCAAAAAAGGAGCCTGAAGCTATTTTGGATCGTATGACAGTAAGAAGAAGAGGGATGCCAGTTACTAAAGTGCTTGCAAAATGGAAACACCATCTCCCAAAGGATGCAACGTGGGAATACTACTATGACTTGAAGAAAAAATTTCCAACTTTCCATCCTTGAGGACAAGGATTCTTTCAAGGGAAGGGCAATGTTAGGAAATATTTGAAGCCATTAGTCAGTTTGGCTGCTTTAGTAGGCTGCCACGTGTTAGAAGCTTGGTTGATCAAAATTTGTTATGTGTTAGCAGTGTCAATTTTGCTATAAATGGCAACTCTGATCTTGTAATCTTCTCTTCATCTTAATAAAGTCATTTCAGAACCTTTCGTTGCATGGTTCCCTATTATCCTTCAAATTCTTCGACTCTTTTGCATTCCTAGAACTAGAAAATTTCTATAACATTGCAACGCTCACAGTGGGCATCGCAACGCCCATGTGCATGCGCAAAATCCTTTATGGTTTGGCACAATAATATCCATACATATCTTAACGAATTTCTCTAAACTCACAAATTTCTCATTTCCTTTGAGCAGAGACCAAAGTACTCTACACTTCTTATATTTATCTCTTCCATATTACAAGATTTTTTCAAGTTACATTTTCTTTTAATCTTTTGTTATTATTTGAGAATGTGTTGAACGAAATCGAACTCCATTATTGAGAATGGAGGTTTTGAACATGGTAATGTTTTCTAAACTAATTTCACAGTTTGAATCAAATTACATAAATTGTTTTTTACCTTAATAAATGTTCAACTATGGAGTAATAATGTTTTATTTGATTTCTTTTATTGGCAATTTTATTGTTCTTGGAAGTTTATACACATGAAGTAAGGACTGTTTCTACACCTTCTAGAAAACCTATTTCAACCTCTCAAATCTGTTTAAATTTGTCCTTTTCATTGAGAACAAAATATTTTCAACTGATTTGATTTTTTTTATCTCTTTGCCAACTTGGTATCTTTCTTAAAACTGATTTGTTAGTTATCAATCATGTTCTTCTTAACTACTCTGACAAAACTATCATATGAGTTTTCTTTTGATTTAAAAAATTCTAAATTTTTGTCTACCAACCAAATTACTAATTAAAACTGAAGATCAAGTTTCTATTTTTCTACATTCTTTGAAAATCAAGCAAGATCTAAATATTAAAAATATTCCTATTGTTTGAGTTTCTTGAAGTTTTTCTTGAAGATATACTTGGATTACTACTTGTACAAGAATTAAAGTTTGTCGTAGATATAGTAGCTAACACATAGCCTACTTCAATAGCTCTTTATATAATGTTACCCTTGGAGATATTAGATAAGTTATTCATTAGACTTAGTATTTCACATGAAGGAGTCCTAGTATTATTAGTTAAAAAGAAAGATGGACACATGAGGTTATGTCAATTAAATAAGGAAACCATTAAGAGTAGATACCAATCAATATAATACATAAATTGATTTATCAATTACAAAGTTCAGTAGTATTCTCTAAGATTGATGTTAGGTTTGAATACTATCAAATTAGAGTCATGGAAGATAATATTCCTAAGACAACTTTTAGGACTAAGTACGGACTGAATATTTACTCATGTCTTTTGGTGGGACTAAAGTTCATGTAATTTTTATAGATTATATGAATATGGTTTTTCATGGTTATTTAAACTGCTTGGTAGTAATTTTTTTAAATGATATAGTAGTATATTCTAGAAGCCGTGAGGAACATAAGGAACATCTTAGTATAGTGCTCCAAATGTTCGTTTTGGGAATAATTTAATAAATCCACGGGTAAATATGCACTTTGCCTATTTTTCTTGTCATTAATCTGCTAGCACTGGCTAATTATAGTTCAATGCATAGCAGAAATGAGTATTGAGAGAAAGACACAGAGAGAGAATGAGAGGAAAAGTAAATACAATCACTATAGTATTTGACAAGTAAATTTCAATATATCTTCAATATAGCCCTAAGTTCTACACTTACCCAATACAATCACTATAGTAGCATTTAACAAGGAAATTTGAATATATTTTCGATACGACACTTAGTTCTACACTTACTATTTACATAGTGAACTTCAGAAATGACAAGTTCATTAAAATTCAACGTGTAGCAACTTGGCCTTTATTGCAAGTGAAAACCGGAAAAGCCTTTTTGCTTGGGCTGAAGAGGCAGTCAAAGATATTTAGATGACGTGATTCAGGCCTCTGAAATTTCCTCATCCTCAACGTCATCAATTCCAACCCAACGTGTAAAAGCAAAAAGGAACTCCTTGAAGTTCACCATTCCATTTTTATCCCAATCCATTTCTTCTGCAGAATTTTGCAGACAAAATAAAATCTATTAGTAACACAGGATTGCTTTGAGTTGTTACAGTATAGAAGTCAGTGGAATGAAGTTCAAAAATAAGTATGGTGCAATGATAATTTTTCCACTATAACAGTATGTAAAGAAACAAAAAAATGAAAACTACGATACCAATAAGTACATATTGATATTTTAAAGGTTAGTTCTATATTTCATGCATGAGCATGTCAAATAATGATCAGAAACAGAAGAATACAACAGAAATAGACAACCTCTCTGCAATAGGAGGAATACCCTATGATGACCTGAATTCCTTTAATGTTGTGATAGGAACTGGGTAAAAAGGGCCCAAGCCCAAAATGAGGGAATATGAAAAGTTAATTACAATTTAGGAGACTGTAGCATGTGTAAAGGAATATAAGGAGAGAAGGGATAGAGGGGAGACGGCATTGTGGTAGTTTGTTGTAAAGCTGTTTAGCTTGTCAGAAAATGGCTCCATGGGCTCTAGGCTGGTTCGGGTTTATCTCTCCTAAAATATTTGTTCAACAATTTGTATATTAATCAATACAATTTCCTATATTTCTTCATATGGATTTGAGGGTTCTATCATGTTGCCTCTGTTATTGTTTTCCCTAAAGTTTCTTGTGATCTTGCCTGATGACTATATGTAACACGTTCTGTGTTTGTGATAAATAGAGAGGCACCGGTAGATCCCATGAACCTAAAGTGGACAAGTCCAGTCCAACTCAATCATGGGCCTTGGATTTGGAAAACGTATGGGAGAAATAAGAAGGGCGCAAAATGGGAGTAACAAAGAGAAATTAGTTATGGAGACCGGAAAGCAGATTGATGTGTAATGTTTCATATGGTGAGAGGAAGAGAGAGAACAGGTCAGTTATGTTTTTTTTCTGTTAGTAGTGAGCAAGGGTGTGAACCTTTGTAGGAGCTTTGCTCTGGGTATTGCAGAATTGATCCTGCAGTATTTTCTCCTTAGTTAATAATACAGTTCATATCTTTTGATTTGGTCTCTCACAATTGGTCCAACCAGCTAGATACCCTTGTTGAGATGAAGAGAAAACGAGAGACATATGATAGAATCCGTGTGTCTTGAATACACAACAGAAAATAATATATATATATATATATATATATATATATATATATATATGTGTGTGTGTGTGTGTGTGTGTGTATTTACAAATATACAGTGATAGGCCCAAGCCCATATCCATCATATGATACACTAACAATAATGTAACACTCTCCCTCAAGCCGGAGCATATAAATCATATGCACCAAGCTTGTTACATATATAATCAATCCTAGGATCCCTTAATGATTTGGTGAAGACATCTACCAACTGATCATTGGAATTAACAAAATGAGTAGTAATGTCTCTAGATAAAATCTTTTCCTTGATGAAATGGCAATCTATCTCACTCTATATTGTTCCCTCATCAGCCTCTCCACCCCTTACCTCCTAGGGTCTTTGGGTCTACGTGTTTTGTTCACAATCTTAGTCCTGGTCTTGATAAATTGTCCGCTAAGTCCCATAAGTGTGTCTTTCTAGGCTTCCCTCGATCTCAGAAGTGGTATAAGTGTTTCTCACCCTCTCTTCGTAGATATCTCATTTCCGCTGATGTCACCTTCTTTGAGTCTTCTCTCTACTTGGAGTCTAATTCCTCACCCTCTGGGTCTGACATAATATCCATCACCACACCTTTTGTCTTTGATCCCTCAGACATGCCCATTGTGCAAGAAGATCCACCACCTCAGCCACCTCTACAAGTTTATCATCGCTCATGTTAAGAAATTTGGGCCTAACTCACTCCTAAAATCTAGCTCTTAAGAGGAGGACTGCCCTAGCCCTTATAAGGAGTATTATGACTCTATTTTTAACCAATGTGGGACATCTTACACCCCCCTACGCTCAGAACTGGACATCTGTGGGCAGCCCAACGTTCAAACTAAATAGACTCTAATACCATGTTGAGATGAAGAGAAAACGAAAGACATATGATAGAATCCGTGTGTCATGAATACATAGCGGAAAATAATATATATATATATATATATATATATATATATATAAGTGTATTTACAAATATACATAGTGATAAGCCCAAGCTCATATCCATCATATGATACACTAACAATAATCTAACAACCCTAATCAGAGAGCAGCTAAAGCATTTGTATGCCAAAGCATAGAAAGGGAGTGAAACTAGCCATGGAAGGTCATTTGAGTTCACTGGAGAGTCTAGTTCAAACACAGGCTGACAGACGATAAGTCATAGATGGACTTACATAATGCAGTTTTCAAGTTGATGGAAGAGATGAAACAGTTGCATTGACATGATCAGAATATGTCACTAGAGTCTTCTGATCCTCAGCCTTGCATGGCCTGCAGTAAAGAAGGTTGAGCTTTCAGGGTTTGACAGCACTGACCCAGGTGCTTGGGTTATTCGAGCTGAGACACACTTTGAAGCTCAAGACACTCGGCCAATAAAGGTGCGACTAGCCAAAATCTCCATGGAGGGGCCTGCAGTTCATTGGTTCAATCTATGGATAGAAAATGAGCCAAAGCCATCAAGGGATAACCTGAAAGTAGCACTACTAAGCAAGTATGAAGGGGCTCTAATGGAGAATCCTTTTGACAGTTTGACAAAGCAACAACAGGATGGAACTATGGATTCATATATTGAAGAGTTTGAGTATCTAGTTTCTCAGGCTCCCAAAATGCCAGAGCAGCAATTCATGGCCCCATTTATGCATGGTCTTCAAGCAGATATTCAACAAACGGATCGTATTCATAAACCAGAAAACAAGGTGAGGATGATGGAGTTAGCGAGAGCAATTGAGGCTGATTTGTTAGGAGATTTGCAGTGTAAAACAACATAAAGGAGGAGCTCAAATATAGGGAGTGGGAGTTACTCTCGTGCTTTGTTTCCGCATTTAGGGTTTAGGGTTACAGAGCCTTTTCCTATGACGCAACTTGGTGCAATAGGAACACAAAATAGGGAGTTTCAAAAGGAGGAAGACAAGTTTGGTGGTTCAAGTTTGAGCAATGTAAAGGGTGGAGCAAGGCAAATCAATAATGGGAAAGACCAAGGAGTGCATCACTTATCATACGGTGAACTAATGGATAGGAAGCAAAAAGGGTTGTGTTTCAAATGTAGCCAAACCTTTCACCCTATGTATCAATGCCCTGAGAGACAGCTTAAGTTAATCATTGTGGATGATGAGCAATTGGAGTAAGGGGAGAAGGAGGTATTAGCCTTGGGGATGGAGGAGCATCCTAGTGGAGAGCTGGAGTGTTCTGCTCTTAGTTGTTATGCAGTGGGTTGAAGAGTTGAATTTTAGCCAAAACCATGAAAATAAAAGGAAAAATCAAGGGAGTTCCATTGGTAATTTTGGTTGAAGGTGGAGCTTCTCATAATTTCATTTCAATGAAGATTGTGGAGTTCTTGGGGTTAGAGTATGACAACACTCCCAAGGTGGAAGTTAGATTAAGAGTTGGGAACTAAAAACAGGTGCAAGGGAGGTGTAGTGGAGAAGTAGTTGAGTTGGAAAACTTGCAAATATGCATCGATTCTTATGCATTTAATATGAAAGAGGTCAACTTATTTTTGGGTGTGGAGTGGTTGGCCACATTGGAAGAAGTCACTACTAATTTGGAGGCAGCAGATCATGAGACTTGAATGGGATGGAAAAAGCATTGAATTGAGGGGTGAGCATATTCGTAGAGGAAGAAATGATTCTCTCTCTAGTTTTCTAAATCAAGAAGAGCAGGAGGTTGAGGGGTCAGTCTGATCCACCAAGTCCCAAAAGGTAGTGGGGCTAAGTGCAGAAACCTTGACCCCAGAGCAGGAAAAGGATGCACAGCAAATTTTACAAGAATTCTCGAAGGTTTTCCAAAAGCCAAAAGAGTTGCTCCCAAGAGATCTAAGGTGCATAATATCACTTTAAAATATGGGGAAGGACCAGTGAATGTTCGACTCAACCCTATAGGTACCCTCATTATCAAAAAGCTGAGATAGAAACACAAGTAGAGGAGCTACTGAATTCGAGGGAAATCAGACCAAGCACAAGTGCTTATTCTAGCCCAGTGATATTAGTGAAGAAGAACTTTATATGGAGAATGTATGTCCATTATAGAGCTCTCAATAAAGCCACAGTCCCAAACAAGAATCTGATCCCCGATATTAAAGAGTTATTATACGAGTTGCATGGAGCTTTTTACTTCTCAAAGTTGGACTCGAAGCCTGGTTATCAGCAGATTCAGTAAGAGAAGAAGACATACCTAATACAGCATTTAGGACCTATAATGGACATTATGAATATTTAGTTATGCCCTTTGGGTTGATGAATGCACCAGCCACTTTTCAATCTTTAATGAATGATGTATTTAGACATTGCTTGAGGAAGTTTGTGTTGGTGTTTTTTGACAACATTTTAACATACAACATTAATTGGAACTCTTATATTCTTCATTTGAGGCATGTTTTGGGCTGCCTTCATGATCATGAGTTGGTGGTGAACTAGAAGAAGGGTCAATTTTATCGTCGATATAATTTCAGCAAAAGAAGTGGCCATGGATCCTGAGAAAGTTCCGGGGGGGAGGGGGGGTGTTAGATTGGCCAGTTCCCAAGTCTATAAGAGGAGTTAGAGGTTTCCTTGGACTATCAGGGTATTATAGAAAGTTTATTAAAGATTATGGCAAAGTTACCAAACCCTTAACAGACCTCACTAAGAAAGGAGGCTTCGAATCCAGTAAACCAGTTCAGGTAGCTTTTGATGAGTAGAAGAAAATTATTATAGAAGCACTAGCTTTGAGACTTCCAGATTTACTAAGGAATTTTTAGTTGAGTGATGCAGCTGGAAGCAGTTCTGATGCAAGACGATAGACCTTTAGCCTATTTTTGAGGAAAACTTAGCTAAGTCTACATATCACAAAGAACTCATGGCATTGGTCTCGTCAATTCAGCACTGCAGACCTTATTTATTGGGAAGAGATTTTAAATTTTTTTCTGATCAGAGAAGTTTGAGGCAGTTGTTGCAGCAGTGAATCACAACTCCAAACCGACAGTGTTGGCTCACAAAATTGTTAGGGTGTGATTTTCAAACCTGGTCTCCAAAACAAGGTTGCTGATGCTTTATATAGGTGTACAGAGGAGCTGGATTTGCAGGTTTTGATTTCAAAACCTGAGTGGTAAGATTGTGAGATAATACAAGAAAGAATCCAGCAAGATCCTTCTGTGAAGATGCTTTCAGATTTGAGGAGCAAGACCCTTCTTCTAGACCTGGGTTTTCTCTACATCATGGTGCTCTATTGTACTATGACAGATTGGTTATCCCTGCAACATCAACTTGGATCCCAACATTACTGTATGAATTTCATAGCACCCCGACAGATGGACATTCAAGGTATTTCAGAATGTACAGGCGGTTGGCTAAATGTTTTTATTGGTGTGGGATAGAAAAGAGAGTTCAAAAGTTTGTTAAAGAATGTGACATTTGTCAACAGAAAAAATATCAAACTCAGTCTCCTGCAGGATTACTTCAGCCATTGGATGTTCCTAAACAAATTTGGGAGGACATAAGTCAAGATCTTGTTACTGCTTTACCAAAGTCCAAGGGATCTAACACTATTTTGGTGATAGTTGATCTTTCTTTTTTCTCCAAATATGTTCACATCATTCAACTTAAACACCCATTCAGAGCTGGGACAGTTGCTTATTCTTTCACTAAGGAAGTGGTTAGACTCCATGGAATCCCCAAGTCCATCATCAGTGACCGAGATCCTTTATTCCTCAATCACTTTTGGAATCAACTCTTCAAACATAATGGCACCAAATTGTGCACAAGTTCCTCATATCATCCAGATACAAATGGGCAAATATATATAGTTAACAAATGTTTGGAGACATATTTACATTGCTTTTTTCTCTGAACAGCAAAAGACTTGGAGTTTGGGCAAAATGGTGGTATAATACCACTTTTCATGCTACAACAGGGGTCAGCCCTTTTCAAGCCGTGTATGTTAGGAAACCCCCTTCTTTGGTGCAGTATGTTTTAGGAGAAACCAAAGTTGAATCAGTTGAAAGAGAATTAATTGATAGGGATCACTCTTGGACAATTGAGATATCACTTACAATGGGCCCAAGAGCATATCAAGAAATTTGCTGATAAGAAGAGGCGGTTTCAGAGTTTTGACGTGGGGGATTGGGTTTTCCTCAAACTAAGGCCTCACAGGCAGCATAGTGTTGTTCAGAGGATCAATCCTAAGCTGGGTCTAGGTTCTATGGCAAATACCAGATTGAAAAGCAGGTGGGGACAGTGACCTACCAGCTGAAACTACCTCCTCAATCTAGGATCCACCTTGTTTTTCACATTTCTCAACATAAAAAGGCAGTGGGAAATTATCAGCCTGCACATGATTTTCCAACTGAGTTGTAGCTAGAAGTGGCCGCGAACATAGTTCGTAAGAAGATTCTTGCAGTTCAATACAAACAGAAGAAAGGGGGTGTTGTTCCTTATTTTGTTAATCAAGTGCAAAGGGCAGCCTGCTGCAGATGCTACTTGGGAAGATGCTCTCACAATTTCCACTCAATTTCCAGATGTTAGCCTTGAGGACAAGGCTTCAATTGATTGGGGGTGGCAATGTTTTGTCCCATGAACCTAAGTGGACAAGTCCAGTCCAACTCAATCATGGGCCTTGGATTTGGAAAACATGTAGTAGGAGAAATAAGAAGGGGCAGAATTGGAATTAGAGAGAAATTAGTTATGGAGAGAAGATTGACATGTAATGTTTCATATAGTGGGGGGAAGAGAGAGAATAGGTCAGTTATGCTCTTTTTCTGTTACTAGTGGGCAAGGGTGTGAACCTTTGTAGGAGCTTTTCTCTGGGTATTGCAGAACTGATTCTGCAGTATTTTCTTCTTCGTTAATAAGACAGTTCATATCTTTTGCCTTGGTCTCTGACAGGCACTCACTTTTCTCAAGAGAGCATGTTAAAGCATATTTCAACACATTAACATATAACACACACTGGTAACATGAGTACAATTGCCTGTGTTTAGACAAGTTTGAATTCTCATTTGAGTGTATATGCACATGTATTTTACAGACAAAGGGAGAGGAAGAGACAACTGACCAAATCTTTTCATAGCTATTCTTCCAGAAGAACGCTCCCCTGATGTAGTTTCATTTATAGCCTGGACCATCTCACTTTTGCTGACATATCCATCTTTATTCTTGTCTAAGAATACAAAGGTATCAACCAAAGTCTCAAATGTGGCCTCCAGATTAGGCATCCCAATTCGTGATTTCTAGAGAAGTCATGGAAAACAACTTGAAAAGGTAGCAAAAATGGAAATTCAAGGCTTATTTTTAATCATGACGAAATTCTAGGCTGTCCTGAAGAAATGCATGAATTAGGAAAGCAAATCCATAACAGAAAATTTCAAATGAACAAATAACCAAATTGTCCAGTAACTCTAAACATCTCCTGAATTTAATAAATGACTGGCTACATAAGCTACAAAAAGAAATAAATCTATATTCAATTCTCAATGGTTATGTATAATAAGCCCAATTAATTCAAACATCAACCAGAGGTCACAGCACACAAGTTAAAATTCTCATCTATATTCTGAATTTGAAAGTTTTAAGAATCTCTCCCCTTATTGTTAATGAAACTAATACAGAACAGGTAATGTGTGCTAGGATACTGCATGAAGTGCTGCAGGGTCATCCTTGAGAAGGTAGACAAGGCAGAGTAGTACAATAAACTCACTGAACTTCATTCCCATATCTTCATTAATATCGCATGCTTCAAAAAGATCATTGATCTCCTCCTCAGTAAAAGAAATTTGCAGCTTACTGAAACACTTTTTCAACTCCTCCTGATCTATTATCCCATTGGAATCCTCGTCTATAAGAAAATCCATAAACACACATCTCTTAGCAACTTAATAAATAAATATGTCAATTTGTATGTGCATCCAACGGTCAAATGAATGCTGGGTTAATGACTTTTTGCTGCACTGCTAGAGCCTATTAGCAAGCTTGACAAATTGCATTTCCAATACAAAAATAAGCATTATTTATTAGTTTGAGTAGACTGAAATCTAATTGAATTTCAATAAAAATTTGAACTTCCAAACATATACTAGCTTCAGTCTTTCATGCATAGGCATAAAAAAATTTAATTGTGACTGCTCACTTAGGCACGAAATTGTGGTATCTACTTTCAGGCCCATATATTTAATTTATAGCAGGCTACTGTTGAAAGGTATCAAATCAAATAAACAACTTAACAGAACGATAAATTTGAATTGGAAACCTACCAAACTGCTCAAATATGGCTTTGCATTTTCTAAGACTCTCATCAATTTTTGGGAATTTCAAGATTATAGTGTTGAATGATTTCACTGAACTTCCTTGAGATTCCCTCCGCTGCATTGCTTCAACCATTTTAGCCTCAAGCTTTGTTTCTGGTATCCAAGCCTTTCTGGGTGATTCACTCTTTCCTAATGCACCTCCCATTGCCAATCAATAAATTAAAGCAGGCTTGCTTGACAAATGGTGCCTTTGGTGCCTGGCAAGTAAGAGTAAAAAACATTAAAATATTTAGCTATTCAACATAGGTATGGTGTAGACCACGACACCAAGTGCCTAACTTGCAAACAGTTTGAAAAAGAAAGTAAAAATTATTTTTCACTGTGTCACTCTATTTATTTGCATACATTTCATTATTTGTTTTCTCCTACTGATGATCAATTTTACAAATAAGTTCTTTCAGAATCACCATATTAGGGTGAAGCACTTCACTTGATCCTTTGACCTGACAGCAACTTGTCTTGAAATCAAAACTTCCAAGTACATCATCATATGATCTATCTTGGCTGTCAATTTCAAGTGTCCTAAATGGAAATGTAACAAACTTTTATGACCCCGATTAATTTATTGTTATCTTTTTTGGTGAGCAAAGCTTTAAGCCCAAGATTAACCCATTAACTAGTTTTAGTGAGCACGTAAGATATAGTCCAACATGTGAAATATGTTCTTTTACTAAAGAAAAAGCGACACCCAAATGTGATATGGGAGAAGTATATCAGTTTTTACCGGACAAAAAGAAGAAGACATAACCATTTTTTGCACATGTAATTTGAATCGATTGTTTCAAGAATTTATACCAGATGCTTGATGGGAACTCCATTAACAATTTTGATAATTTTATAGATACACAGAATCACATGCAAAAAAAGGAATCCAACTTATAACCTCACGATAATTCAATAAAAAATAATTGGGTCACACACAAGTATGGCATATTCCGTCCAGTTTGTTCCTGAATTTGAAAGATTACAACAAAAGTGGAAACAGGAGCATGCAAAGGTCGTTGATCAGTTTGCAATATCACACATATTGAAAGGAATTTAAATAGAATGAAATAAATAGATAAAAGAGGGAAATTTAATTAAAATAAAAGTGCAAAGTGTACCTTATGAGCAGGGAGAAGAAGGAGCAAGAGTTAGCTCCCAAGCTCCTTGGATTGAAAGTGAATAGGAAGAGGAGAAACAGTGGTTGGTGGTGGGTGTTGCAGATTGAAGATGTTCAGAGAAAGATGCATCAACAGAAGAAGGTTGAATTTAGAATACCAAACATAGAAAAGTGAGATTTGTTAACTCAGTCTGGGCCTTCATGTGTCTCCCTGCCTATATTTGTGCTGCTCCCACCACGTCTTGTCCTACCTCTCCATTTCACCGCATCTTTTTCTACGTTTATTTTATTTATTACAATATTAATCTCCCACGTTATATTAAATTAATTGCATATTATTGTAAAAATTTATCATAACCTTCAATATATTTTATTCTTTAAAATAAATTAGATTTAAATTTAAATTTTTATATTTTAAAAAATATTAGTTTTGATAATTTTTACTGATGCGACATATAAAAAAAACTATATTTAATATAAAACTTTGACATGTTAAAAGATATGAGTCACAGTTTTACTTAACATTCATTAGAGATTATAATTAATAATTTAAAAATACAGAATTATAAAATAGTTAAAAATTAAAATCAATATTTAATTATAGTTTATAAACACAAGTTATAACATATTATTTTATATCTCCTGCCCCCTCCCAAACCAGGAGATATAAAATCTGATGTGTAAAAAAAATATAAGTAACAGCATTTTTAGAAATATTAATAATATAAAATCCATCCTTGTGATATTAGTTATTAAAAATTTGTAATATTAAAGAAGTCTTTAATGATTAAAAACAATGATATATAAAGAAATACAAAAGATGTTGAATTGCGTTTTATGAGTTTTTAAAATAAATTTAGAAATTTTTTGCAAAGCATTCAAGAAAACTAAGAAACAGAAGTGACGAATTGTTATATATATATATATATATATATATATATTTATTTATTTATTTATTTATTTTATTTATTTTTTTTATAGGTAAAGTAGAAACTAGTCTTGGTCAAGAACTAATTTATTTTAACTGTTATCACAGTAAGTCTTATGAATAGAAATATTTTGGACTCTCTGTTTCACTACGCCAGAAATGAGCTTTTGAAGCGTTAACTTAGATAGCGGTTAATAAAAACTATTTTGTAATTATAAATTTAGAGAGCGGTTCTCTATTAACCGCTCTCAGATCTATATTTCTGAGAGCGGTTTCTTTGTTAACCGCTCTTAGAATTATACTTCTGAGAGCGATTCTCTATTAACTGCTCTCTAAAGTCACACATTAGAGAGCGGTTAATAAAGAACTGCTCTCTAATTTCATTCTTGGAGAGCGGTTAATGAAGAACCACTCTCTAATGTTATTAAAGTTATTTATAAATAAACACGCTCAACGTATTTCTTCTTCATAGTTAACAAAGTTGGTCTCTTTCACTGTAAGTTTCTTCTCTGCTCTGTTATGTTTTCTTCATCTTCTCTATTAGTCTGCTCTCTTCGCCTTCTCTTGCTAACAAATTAGTTTTTTTTTCCATATGTAAGTACCTTTTCATTCTGTGTTAGTATGCTCTCTTCATCTTCTTTACGCTAACAAATTAATTTTTTTCACATCTGTATGTATTTCTATATTCTCTCTTTCTTTCTTCTCTTTGTTAACGATGAATCATCCATTCTCTCTTTCTTTCTTTTTCTCTCTATTAATGTTAAAAATTATCTTATTAATTTGTTCTCTTTTTTCTTTGCTTACTTGTGTTTCGTTCATGCAGATGTGGATTGCTTGGTTAACACCAAATATATAAACTAAGATTCAATTTTGATTTGTGATAAAAATGAAGAAAACTCACAAAGAAATTAATTTTAAATTTTGATTTAAACGTAATAATAAATTTTTATTTTGCAACAGAAAACTCACAAAGAAATCAATTTCAAATTTCACGGTTTAAATTTATACTTTGGAGAGCGGTTCCACGCAGAACCGCTCTCAAATGTTACACCTATACTTTGGAGAGCGATTTCGCTTGAAACCTCTCTCTAATCTTAACATCTGATAGCAGTTCTTTAACCACTCTCTTAAATATAATACATCAGATAGCGCAAGATTTTAGAGCAGTTTTAAACGCTCTCTAATTCAAAATGGAACTGCTTTCAGATCTCTATTTTAGCGTAGTGTTTCTTAATATTCGTTTTCATGGGTTAAACATGAAAGAGGGATCTATTCCTATAGCTTTAATCTATAAGATTCAATATAAGGTCATGACTTCTTGTGCATCTAGAGTCTTTCTCAAACCTAAAAAAGGTGAGACTACTTTGTTTATTACAGATATGACAAAGGCTAATATCTCTTTACCCAGAATCATCAAGTGGGATGAAGTTACCCTCCCAGAGAAGTGGGTTATGGACAAGGCCTAGATCTGCTTCTCAAATTCAAGATATTTCTCAGGACACTTCTGAGAAAGTTGAAATAACTTTCAATAGGAGAAACTCTTTTTCTTCCAAGATGGATGCTTTTAGTAGACAATCTGATTTTGTATCTACGAGGAGATTATTCTCTTCCAAATCCCAAACCTTTAGATCTGTAACTCATGATCCTTCTCATATAAACCTACAAAGATTAGATACCTCTTCTATTATTCTTAGAACTGTTTACTAAACCTCCAATAAGGAAGATAAAAATCTGAGTATTCAATCTCCAACTTATTCTTCCCTTAATGAGTCTTATGATATTGTCTCATAAGTTTATTATAGATAAGGAAACCCTTAGGAAAGATTTCTATTCTAAGGATTGGAAAATTCAATTAGAGTGGTTTTTTCATAATTACAAGGGTAGTAATAGATCCAACATCCAAGAGAAATTTTATAAATTTCTCGAAAAAGTTGAGCAGAACATTCCTTTCCTTGATTGATTTCATGCTTATACCATTTAAAACAATTTAGATTACCCTTGGCAGGAAGATATTATTAGTACATCTTCTGCTAATGTTATTTCTTGGTAGATCAAAGATGGACAAATAGTTCAAAGTGATCTTCCTCCTTCAACCCAGTTCTAGTTGCCTAAATTAAAAGATAATTGTGGCAACCTTGTAATAGCAACACCATTCAAAACCAAGATTACTGATGAATCTATCACTTCTAATGATATTCAGGGCCTCCTGGAAAAGACCAACTATACCAATAAGTACCTTCAAGTCTTAGGAGACAAGATTAGCAGAGATCTTATCTCTACTAGCAATCTGAAAGAAGAAGCATCTTCTTCTGCTCCTCTAGAAAAACCTCTTTTCAAACCTTTTAAGATTAGTGCCAAAGCCAAACAGAAAATCCTAGAGCTTAGGCAAAAAGAGAAATCAAAAACTTTAGAAGACAATCAGAACAAATTGCTTAATAAAATCACTAGTATGCTTACAACTGTTCCTGATACTCCTCAAACTTCTGAAAAGTCTAGTGCCAAACCAAAAACTAGGTCTCTCTCTAAGACTGTCAATGTCATTTCTAAAGCTGATTCAGAACAATTTTCTGAAATAGATTCTGTCTTAAATATCAATCCAGTAAATACAAATAATAAGAATTGAAAATCTTCTTCTAAATTTTATTACACTAGAGCTACTGCTCCTGATCTAGTCTTAGAAGAAGGTCATGATCATAATATCCAAAACTTTAATCCAAATGACATTTATGTTTGGAACATAGATGGTAAGTCAAAGTACAATATTATTTCTACTCTACAACACATGTCCATTGTTTCCATGGGCTATTATACCAACATGATTATGCTGAAGATACCATTGTTCATATCTTAGTCACTGGGTTTTCCAGACAACTCAAAGGATGGTGGAATAATTATCTCACTGAAACTGATAGAGAAAAGATCCTCTCTGCAGTTAAAATTAATGATAAGGGAAAAGCTATTGTTAACAATGATGAACAGCTCCTTGATGCAGTGTATACCCTCTTAGACATTATATCTCAACATTTCTTAGGAGATCTATCTTTATAGAGAGACAGATCTGCTGAGTTATCATCCAACCTTAAGTGTAGAACCTTAGACGACTATAAATGGTATAAAGATACCTTTTTGTCTAGAGTTTATACTAGAGAAGACAGCCAACAACCTTTTTGGAAAGAAATATTCTTAGCTAGTCTTCCCAAATCTTTCAGAGATCTAGTTAGAAGCAAACTCAGAAATCAATCTGTCAATGGAGAAATTCCTTATCATAGTCTTAGTTATGGTCAACTCCCATACTATTATCACAAAAATAGCTCTGAAAGTTTGTCAAGAAGATAAGATTCAGAGACAACTAGCCAAGGAAAGAGTCCAAAGTATTTCTATCTATAAGACTCACTATCTTGTTTAGCTAATAGTTAAAATAAATTGGTCCTTGGCTAAGACTAGTTTCTACTGTACCTATAAGGAAATCTTCAAATCTATTGTGTCTAACATCTCTGAGCCACATTAGGACAGCGACATCTATACCAATGTCAATTAAAAGTTTAATTGCTACCTAGACACAACCTATATGGAAAAACTTATATTTTCTCTGGTGTTCATGTATAGAATGTTTTGAGAGGAGATGGAATTCTTCTACTATTTCTTGTCCTAAAGGAATATTGATTTCAACAGTCTTGATAATATAATCAGAACTATTTCTCTTGGTTTGTTTTTCAAGCACATATAATGTATCCTGAGGGATTTTTGGAATAGTCTAGTCATCCATGCTTTGATTAATCTCTTCGAAGTGAACTTCTTCGTCAAAGAGATTATGTTTTGGTGTAATCTCAGGAGACTGTTTCTCCTAATCATTAAAGAGAAGATTTTTAGTTGTAGAAAAAGAAGAGGATGAATTAGAATTAGATCAGAGGAAAATGAGGGAGAAAGAGCGAAATAAATGAGACATCATAAAATAAAACCTCTAGTTCATCACCCTCATTTGGTTCCATAAAAACATATACTGTTAAATCTTTTATAACTTTTTCTTCTAGACCTGGTTATTTGTGGATTTTTTTTTTGTATAAAAACACAAATTTACACAGATTAAATTATCTTCACTATAGCCGCCAGCTTCTTATGTTCTTTTTTTTCTTTTGAATACAGCATTGTCGAATCAGCCTTACTGCCCTTAACACATACACGAGACTTACTGTTGCAGCCCTATTCAAAAGAAACTAAGAACTACTGTGCATCCAGTAATGACATTTCAGAAAAATTAAACTATACATAAATTAAAAATCCAGATCTAGACGAACATAGTTATAATAGATCCACAGATATATTCCTACTTTCCCATC